CTTCTCTTCTTAGCCATAAGAATGCACTAAGATGTCCTTAGAAGACCGATTGTGATATGATTTCTAAATCATTAAGATGATCACAAAACATGATACTAAAGTACTCTCCCATCTTTTCAGATTTAAGAAACTTTTATCTTTCTGCCTAATTTGATTCTTCTCATTCGTTCTGCCATACATCGAAACTTTTCCAACGTTTTAGAATTATACTTAAACTGGTAAGTATAACCATATTTACTAAACTTTAGTAAATCACGACGAATAGTCTTATCGATCTTTTGTGGTGGACTTGATCAATGCACAAGAATGTGTACTCGATCCCTTAGTCCTTCACTTGACTCACATATAAATGTGAACAAGGAACTAGTCTTAATTTTCCAAAGCTGAAAGTTCTCATTCAGCATACTATACAACTTGTATGATTCCAAGTTTCTATCCAACTGAAAGCTTGGATGATGAGAAGCTTTCCTTATTTGGTAAAATTTAGACACTACCACAAATGAAATAATCAAATTTCATTTTTCCAATATTGCTATCAATGGAATCATATAAACAACCATTTTTTACAAATGCCACTGTAAGGATATTTAAATTAAAACCTTTTTATTTTATTTCAAAACTTTGCGGAAAAAACTTATCCTTACAGTGCAAATGCATATGAAAAACTTGTTGTTATCTATTCCTAAGCAATATATCATAACTCCTAAGCAACAACTCAAAAATTCTGATCACCGAACCATGCGATCGAAATCCATTTTCGCGATCAGAATCAGCATATACTTCCTTTTAGTTTCTTCACTTTTCTTTGATTCTTAAAACAACAACATGTGACCCAGTCACATCATGTAATGTGAATCTCATAATAGAAACTTAACAGAGTTAGATAGTGGACTTCACCTGAAGTAGAATCAAACATCTTGACTTGATCAACCCTATGATCCTTCAGGTAAATAGGCAGTTTTGTAACCAATGCCCCTTCCTTTGGCAATATAGACATATGGACTCTATGGAAATGGTACACGGGACTATCACAGACTTAGACTTTCTCTTTACCATTTGGTCAACCGAGTTGACTATGTCCGATCCCTTTCCATTGGGAAGAGAAAGCTCTTTCTGGATATCCAATGTTACCATTGTCAATGTCCATTTAAGATTTGGGAAGTTGATCTTCTTAATCAAATTTGCTTTACTAGGCCTTAAATCATTTCTGATTCAGCAGCACTTAGCAAATAGATAAGATCATTAAGGGTCTTGTCATAGTCTATCTCATAGTAGTCCCAAAGGAACTCACTATGTGACTTAGAAAGTGATGGAACATCCAACTTTCTTAAGACTTTGACACCCAACTCTCCCGGCTTGTCAATATGTGACTCTATCTCCAAGATGTGAGCACACATAGACCTTGCTTGCCAATAGGGTTTGAGTGACCTTGAACTTGTGGGTTAGGGAGAATAATTGGAGGAGGTGGAGGAAGTAAGGTTCCAAGAGATTTGGGAAGATCACAGATGTCTGAACTACATATCTTTTGGGAGATATTCAAGAAAGTTGATTCAAAGTCCTTAATATAACACCCAGTATGAAATATTAAGGCTAGGACCCAACAAACTATTTCATAACTTGGAAGAGGGATGCCGTAATCCAAGCTATAAAATATTTCAAAGTAGGTGAATGACGATTCACCAATTTCCACCAAGATAAACGAAATGTATTATTAGGTTTTAATTGGTTTTGAAACTCCTAGATTCTTTAGAGATTCATTGAACTTTTCAATGGCATGTTTCAATCTTGAGTGTGCCCTTCATGTTTTGTGACTGGGATGCCGAGGATCACAAAACAAGGTGTGAAGTAACCATGCAAATTACTTGGTACCCTTAATATTTACCCCTTAATCGATGTGCCGGTTAACCACACGCCAGAGTCGGAGGGGGTCCGAGCTGACTTGGGAGCCGGAGTCGGAGATGCGGGAGCAGCATCCGGAGTTATTTACGGCATGAGACTTCGAGGGTGAAGTCTGATTCTAGTGGGGGAGAATTGTAACACCCTGAAATGCAGGTATATCTCTTTAATCCTTCTTCTTTCCCAAGTTGTCAAAATTGGCCCAAAATAGAAAATGGTGATAAGTGGGTACAATGGGCGTACTGAATAGTACGCTGCGCGTACCCATGGGCGTGCCTTTGACGCGGACTCAACCCAGTACGCGGGGCGTACCTTAGTTTACGCTGAGCGTACTGGGCCCAGACTCAAAACCCTAAATGAGACATGAACACTATAAAAGGAATGTTATGGCCTCCATCCCAACCACCATTTCCAGAGAGTGAAACCCTAAGTGAGCCCTTACCTTCGTTCTAAGCTATGTGTGCGTGTTTAAGCTTGAAAGTGTTCTTGTGTGCTTGTGAAGAAGAAGAGAAGGCCTTGAAGAAGAAAGATTGGAGTCCAAGCTTCTAGATCTGAGCTAAGTTGAGTAGGGAGCTTCTCACAGAGGTAAAAAGCTTCAAACTTGGTCTCTCTTTGTTATGAACATCATCTAGGAGCATTTTTAGGGTTTAAGTCCCAAAGGTGGAGACTTTATGAGCAAAGGGACTCCATGGACCTAGATCTGCCCCATTTCAGTGTATCTTGTGTTATAGATCCATAAAAATCCAATCTTGGACGTTAAGATTAAGTCATGCATGAGATAAGGGCTTAATGAGGAAAGAGGAAAGGTGTTTGGAGTGATTGGTGACCTTTACAGCCATGCAAAGGCTTAAAGGTTTCGACTTTATGGATTAAGAGGTATTAGAATGACCAGATCTGAAATATGAGCTTATGTCTTAACCGTTTAAGACCAAAATCATGAGGAGTATGAAACTGGGACTTACGCTGGGCGTAATCCCAGTACGCGCAACGTAGGGGGTCGAGCTCCCCGATTCTGTGAAGCCTTCGAGTACGCCCAACGTACAGAGCTGGTACGCGCCGCGTACTCTGGAGGGTTGACTTTCATTGACTTTTAGGGTTAGTCAACGTTTGGACCTTTGGGCCATTGGAGGGGTAAAATGGTCTTTTACCCTTCTGAGAGAATATAGGGAGGGACTAGTCTAGCCTTTGAGAGCCGTATTAATTAGAAATAATTATTTAATGTGATTAGGCGGAGGCTAGATCATTATTTCGAGTTCGAGATTATCCGAGTTACCCGAGGTGAGTCTTCTCACTATACTTTACCTAGAGTGGTAATTAGAGTTGTGTGACAGAGTACCTTGTATGCTATTTATATGATGTGATACACTGCATTATTTTTATGTGATTTATGCTATGTGTGTTTCAGAGTTTACAGAGTTAGGACCGGAAGGTCCATAGAGTTAGGACGAGAGGGTCCACAGAGTTATAGCCTCGAGTGGCTAATATGTGCTGTATGTGGTATTTTGGGGAACTCACTAAGCATTTATGCTAACCGTGTTATGTGATATGTGTTTCAGGTACTAGCGAGGATCGCGGGAAGGCGCCGACATGATTTGTACACACTAATAGAGGATTTTGTATTCGAGATTCTGGGATATGTTTTACCGTGATAACATTTGATACACATGAGTTTGGGATGATTTATATGAGATATGTTATGTTTGAAAAATGAAAAATTGTTTTAAATTTTTACGTTGTTACAAATGAGAAATGTCTTTTATAAGGCTATGAACTAGCAATTTTGTATACATTGTTTTTGTTAACAATTTATCATAAAAACTATACTTGTTCAATAAATCTCGTATAACCATTTTATATGTTCAAAAAAGACCATTAAATTCATATTTGATGTTCAAAAACACCATTAAACCTACATTTTCATACACAATTTACCGTTTAACTAAGCTTTGTATATATTTAATCATTTTCATCTTTTCTGTCCATCATCAATTTTGCATAATTTTCTTCACAATTCCATAAAAGAAAGCAAACATCGTTTGACCTCTTTATTTTTTAAAAACATTATAAAACACATAATTTCATCATTCTCATATTCGATGAAAACATTCACACATCTTGTAATACCATCAACATCCTCTATCGTCGCTCACACCTTTCCTAGCTACTCTATTTCTTCCACTACTTTAACAAACCACTCTAGCCCCACATCCATCTCTATCTTATTTCTTCTTGAATCGTAGTACATTAGTAACTATATCCGTTCATAGATGTGATTTTAATTGTTAAAATATGAGTTTGAATTGCTTGGAAGTTTAAATCAGTTTTGCTATATGTTGAAGTTGATTTTTAGATTAATTACTTGGTGGTGGTAGTGACTGATGGAGATGGATGGTTATGGTGGTGATGGAAGGTGGTGTTTGTTGCTAGACTTGGATGGTGGCGGCAAGAGGTAAATGATGGTGGCGGGAGTGCATGGTGTTGGCCGGAGAAGATGAACGATACACAGTTTAATGGTAAATAATGTACACAAAAAAACATTAAATTACAATACCTGGTAAAATGGTAAGTGTGGTAAATTGTGTACAAAAAAATAAAGTGACTAAATATGTATAAAAGTGATAGTTCATTACCTACAAAGTTATTTCCCCTGTTAAATATTAAATAGGCTTCTTGAAGCATTAGAACAATAACCAAACAATGAAACAATGGTTATAGTCTTTGATTTTTTTTATAAAAAATATCTTAAACAACAAACTCAAACCATATATGCTTCTCTTATAAATCTAACTCGAAAACCGAATGACACCTATCTGTAATTAGAAACCGAAAATCAACCCATGGTCAAAACCGCACCATACAATTTTAAAAAGCAAAAGATTCATGTATTCGATTTTCAATTCAATTTCGGTCAAAAACCGAACCACACCATGCTAAACCTCATTTGACATTTGAATCAAAACCAAAATGTTGAAAAATTTGCAGAACAATTAAGAGATGGGTAAATATTCTGGTTTACAAGACTTGAGGGACCATTGTTGTCATTTTGTTAACGTTATCTGCTTGTTTTGGTATTCTCTCTTTCCCGTCATTTTATTTCCCCGAGGGCGCTTGTTCTTTCGATCTTTATTCAGTATATTGAAACCCTAACCCCCAAATTCGACACACAATTCAATCGATCTCTAAGGATTATATTCGTCATAAAAAAGAATGCAACATCAACATCAGAGGTTGAAGCAACAACAACAACAAGCTCTTATGCAGCAAGCTCTCCTTCAACAACAATCTCTCTATCATCCTGGCCTCTTAGCACCTCCACAGGTTCGGACGCACCGTGTATTGTGATTCTGTAATGTATATCCACGAATTTCCATGTTTGTATGAAAGCGTTGCCATTTTCGAGCTAGGGAATTCATTTTGTTGATTGATCATCGGATTATGATCACGGTGCCTGTAACTTTTTGTTAGTTGCGATAATTTCCAGGAAATTAATTTTTTTTGCTTGTTTATTTGTGAAATGTAACGACTTGGATCGTGCCGTTTTTGAATTTTGACGATTTTGTTGCCATGTTCCCTTAACTATGTGAAACCAAATGGATTTGGATTTTTTGCTTTCCCAAGCTCGGTTTACTCTCCCCTTCCCAAAACCAGAACTCCTTTAAGGTTTTTTTTGGATATCTAATCCAATTACTTTTGAGATACAAGATTGATGCTGGATTTTGTTACTTATTTAAAACAAACATTATTAACTTTTTATTACTCTTTTAAATTCTTTTATGTGGATGTCAAAAGTTTAGGATCCTCGAAAATTTTGAACTTTTAAATTTTTATTTGATTTTTCAAAAGTCAATTAGTAGCTCTTTGCTTTGAACTGAGCTATTACATGTTGAATTCTGACTGATTAATGTTCTTTCTTTTCCTTTCTTCCTACGAACTCTTTCCTTTGTGATTAATGGCTTCTTAGTCATGCAATGTTTTCAGGTAATTAAACATGCCTGTCTTGATTCTCATGGGAGACTGGGTGAATGCTTTTTATTCATGAGACCCTCTTTTCTCTAAAAGTTCTTATTTTGATTATTTAAAGTTTTGGAGGGCAAAGTATTTTGTTTAAGCATCTGTATAGGTTTCTGCTTTTGAAGAATTACTCTTGTGGGGGTTATCTATTGCATTGCTATAGTCATTTCTTCATGGAAATCCATACTTCCATCTTCACTTTACAATTTACATATGGTTTCGAAACATTAAATGTCGTGGCAACATACCCTTTTTTTAGTGGATAGTTTACTAAATTGTTACCAGAGATGGGTGCGTAACTGCATAAAATATTAAAACCCTGTTTTAGATGCATAAGAACAGTGGAATGTTTGTAAGGAGCTGCTGTTAAACTTTAGGAAGTCAGCCTCATTTTATTTAATGATTTTTCTTCTTTTACCTTTTTAGCTTATATAGGGAATTTGTTTGGACAATTATTTGTTTCATGTTGGTTTTCCTTTGGTCGCTGGTGTGTGTAGTTTAGTAGTGGATACACTTTGCCTTCTCACCCATTCTTCTTTGGACCTGATTTACTCTATAGTTAGTGGGGTTCTTTATCTTTTTTTTTTACTCTTAGCTTGCTATTTTTTTTTAGTCTTTTTCCTTTTTTCACTTTTTTATTTTGCAGATTGAGCCAATCCCAAGTGGAAATCTGCCTCCTGGGTTTGATCCAAATACATGCCGCAGTGTGTGAGTGGTTTACAGATGATTTTTCTAGTTCCTATTTTTTTTTTGTCCTTTTTCATTCGCATGACAAAAACCTTGATCTATCTACTCCCCCAAGCCAACTGTGTGTTGTTAAATTGGTATATCTAGAACATTTTCTTAATACATCCAGATTCTAAAGTTTGTAGCTGTAGTGTAAAAAGCGTTAATTATAGTATATATATAGGAATAGGATGTTTATTTGTTTACATGTATTGAGCTGCTATCTATACCTAGAATTATTTTTGTTTGTTTTGTTTTTATAACACTTGTAGTTTCTTTATTTTTGAGATATTTCAGGTATGTGGGGAATATTCATATGCAAGTAACCGAACCACTTCTTCAAGAGGTTTTTGCAAGCACTGGTCCTGTTGAAGGCTGCAAACTCATAAGAAAAGAGAAGGTACCCTGCCCATTTCTGTTTGAAAAGTTCTACTCAAGTTTGCATACAATTTATATTTTGATTTTTTTTATATATATATATATATATATATTTTTGTTTGCAGTCATCTTATGGGTTTATACACTACTTTGATCGTAGATCAGCTGCACTTGCTATCGTATCTCTAAATGGAAGACATTTGTAAGTGTTTCTGAATTCTGACGAGGAGTTTATATCATATCTTACCTGACCACTTATTGATGTTATTCTTCAGGTTTGGACAACCTATTAAAGTTAATTGGGCATATGCCAGTGGACAGAGGGAGGACACTTCTGGTACTTTTATTATTATTATTATTATTACTATTACTATTATAATAAATTAATAATAATAATAATAATTGGATCTCATGGCATATTTCTACTTTTGGTTTATAGGTCACTACAACATATTTGTTGGTGATCTGAGCCCTGAAGTCACTGATGCTATGTTGTTTGCATGCTTCTCTGTTTATGCTAGTTGTTCGTGAGTACATACATACATACATACATACATACATCTCCTTTAACTCCCTATATAAATCTACCACACACAATGATATTAATGATATTATTATTATTATTATTATTATTGTAATAAACAGGGATGCGAGGGTTATGTGGGATCAAAAAACAGGTCGTTCACGAGGTTTTGGGTTTGTTTCCTTCCGGAACCAACAGGTTTATATTTAATATTTAATAAACTAAAACTTTTCCGAATATTGGATTTTAGTATTTTATGAATTTTGAACCAAAATTATTAATTCCTGTTCAGGATGCTCAAAGTGCTATCAATGACTTAACCGGTAAGACTTTTCTTAAAAAGTTTACTTTCAAATGTTGAATAAATATAAAATTATAAATTCAGAATATTTATGTTATCAGGGAAATGGCTCGGAAGTAGACAAATACGCTGCAATTGGGCCACCAAAGGTGCTGGTACTAGTGAAGAAAAACAGGGATCAGATTCCAAAAGTGTAGTGGAGCTAACAAATGGGTCTTCAGGTATATTCAAAAAAAAAAAAAAAAATTATAAATTTTTAAATTTTTTTTCTCTAATATATTTTTATTCAGAGGATGGCAAGGAGCCTGTTAATAGCGAGGCCCCTGAAAATAACCCACAGTACACGACTGTTTATGTTGGCAACCTTGCTCCAGAAGTAAGAAATCATATTCTTTTCATAACCAAAAAAAATTAAATAAAAAATAGAATTAAATAAATTATATATAAATTTTAGGTTACTCAACTTGAGCTGCATCGGCATTTCCATTCCCTTGGTGCTGGTATAATTGAGGAAGTTAGGATTCAACCGGATAAAGGATTTGGTTTTGTGAGATACAATACACATGGTGAAGCAGCTTTAGCAATTCAAATGGGAAACACCCAATCCATTCTTTATGGCAAACAAATTAAGGTTAGCCTTTAGTCTATATATCTATATTTTTAATCTTTTAAAATACAAATCTTTGATAATTAAAATGTTAAATGGGAATTACATTAGTGTTCTTGGGGAAGCAAGCCGACGCCACCTGGAACAAGTTCGAATCCGCTTCCGCCACCTGTCGCAGCGCCGATGCTGTCAGCGGCTGACCTGTTGGCGTATGAGCGACAGCTGGCGATAAGTAAGATGGGAATGGGAGGGCTGATGCATCCTAGTCAGCATCATTTTAAACAAGGGGGGATGAGTGTGGGTGCAGCCGGGGCTAGCCAGGCCATTTATGATGGTGGTTTCCAGAGTGTTGCTGCTGCACAGCAACTCATGTATTATCAGTGACTTGTTTGTTGTTGAGAGGCTTTGAATGAGAGTTGTTTGTGTTGTTTTTACTTTTTAGATGTTTTTCTTCCTTTTTTTCTTTTTTCTTTTGTTTTTTTTTTCTTTTGTTTTCTGATTATATTACCCTTTTACCTCAAAATGTTGTCCTACTTATATATATATATATATATGAATATGATTGCCATGAGTATGGATGGATATCAGATATGTATGATGTAATGTTATGTTAATGATGGGGATGCATGTTTGTTTGTACTAAATTTTGGTCCAAACATGGTAACGATTTATCAACTATTAAGCCTTTTAAGTTCTCTAAGAGCCCGATTTTGTTATACTTTTTAGCATTATAATCTTGAATTTCAGAAAAAATAAATATAATACAGAAGGTGAAGATAACCAAATTCGTTGCTTTTGTTGATGATTTGAAAATATAGATGTATTTTGTTGATTGTTTTGAAAAATCTATGGGATAGAACCACACAAGTAAAATTGTCAAGGGGTGTTTGGATGTTTATCTTGGAAGCAAGCATATAACATTAGATCATCAAAATAAAATAATTAGTTACAACAAATGTTGATGAAAATACTGTATGTCTGTTTCAACTTTCAATAATTCGTTAGTTATGTGGTTGATTTAAAGCTCCAACTTTTAAAAAGAAACTAAAATATATAAAATGGACAAAGAAACATGACTTTTCAAAAGAAAGTAGGAGTGCTTCATATAAGGTGAAGCAAATGAACAAATAATTAATCTTACTATTGGAGCTATTAATTAAAATGATCAACATTTTAAATAATTTCTTAACCAACTTTTCCACAAATGCCACCATATTACAACCTAGACCACAAAATATTCACAAATTATATATATATATATATATATATATATATATATATATATATATATATATATATATATATATATATATATATATTTGTCTAAAGTAACTGTAAATGTTTCACATTTTTGTTTATCTTGCGATAACGATTAATGTCACATTTCTCAACTACCAAATACGTATTCTCGCAGATAATAACTGTGAAATTAATTTGTACTCATGAAATATAGGTATTAGGGTCTATAAGTTGATGCATATACTTAATGAGTCTCCTCAATCACTTATTCACTTAATAACCTCTTTCTACTTGAGAAATCTTATTCAAAGTGTTAAAAGTGTTATTCTTTAAAAAATATATTGTCAGCCATTCATGAAGATGGCTGGAAAAGGTAAAAGGCGTTGCAAGCTCCTCCAATAATAACAAAGATTGTTATCGTTGTGAAAATACAGAATGTCATTGTTCGATCCTTAACCCATTCTTGGATGTTGACTCATATCATAAAATCTTTTTTCGTGGTGGACCAATTCCACCCGTGATGCCCACTTATATATTGGAAACTTATATATTGGAAGTTATGCAAAACTATGAAAAAAGTCTAATAGATGGATTAAAAAAGGTGTTGAAAATCATTGCACGTAGAGCCTTTATAGTAGTAAAGATCCAAAAAAAGGAAGAAATATCTTATCCCACTTCTTATATCCCAATTTGGGACATCCCGGAGATAGAGTAAAACACGTTCCGATTGCATTTGAGAACGCTTAGAGACAACAATTTCTAAAATCCAAAAAATATCCTACACTTCTACATAAAATTTATTATGATCTTTAGGTTAAGCAGACAAATCCATAAATAAAAAAAAACTAAAGATCTCAACCCAAATTAAATATGGGACAACTAGACTATTACAATCTATCTACATCATATCATCCATCATCATAGGCTAATGTCATAAAAGCCCTTAGTTTTTTAAAAAATTGTCGGTTTTATCCTTTGGTCTCTTTTGTGTTCATTAAAGTCTAATATTTGGACTAATTGTGTCAAAATTGTCATTTAACAGGTAAACAACGGGTTAGCCGGTTACCATCTCTACTTTCCCTGTCTTCTCCTTCACACACATAAACACACACTCCAAAATTGATTTGCAGATTTCTCTTGAGAAGCTTTCTAACACAACACACACCAAAATCGATTGAGGGATGAATTATTGAGAAGAACGACTCTGTTTGAAGCTATCTTGAACCCCGCCACTTTTTTCTTCATTATTTTCATATTTGGAGTTACTTCGTTTTTTATTTCTATCTACAAATTGGATTTCAAGAAACGATTTTTTATTTCTATCTGGTAAGAGCATTGTCTACCCAATGAAATCGATATTGGCATCCTAAATACGAAACGGCTTCAGTTTGAATCTATCTTGAACCTCATCACTTCTTTCTTTATTGTTTTCATATTTGATGAACATGGGAGCTACCAACACTCAAATTCATTCACCCAAATGGAATTATTGAAATTTGTCGGGCAGCTTTACTAACGTCGTTAACCAACGCATTCCAACTGTTTGATAAAATGCCTCAGTTAGGTTCATCAAGTTCATACTTCTCAGTGGCTGTCGAGATGGCCAAAAAGAAATTCAAGCCAATTACAACCACATTCGGCATCAAACAGGCACCATGATTGTTGGGTTTTACATCAGGATTCAGAGATTGTGTAAGTTGAAAAAGACCATGGAAGCTAACTCTTTGCTTGATGGATTCTGCTCGATTGATTCTTTCAAGAAACATGAAGCCTAATTCATATATTGACACATCTGATTCATGGGTATTTCATGAAGGGGAAATTAATTATCTAGCCCCTTTTCTCTTATACGAGCGTAAGGTTATCAGTTGTACATAATTGTACATATGCATCATTTTCTTATACCTGTGTGAGAGAAAGAGGGCGTGCTTCGTCATTTTGGAACTTTCTGTTCTTTGTCTCTACCATATACATAGGGCGTATATGTGTATACATTAAGATAGTCATTTTTGTTTCCATAAAGATGGTGATGGTTGGATGATTATTAAGAAGGCGTGTGGCTGGGATGACGAGATTTGTATATCGCAGGTGGCAGAGATGGTGTTTGTGTTGATGATGTAGGATGGCGATGGTTTCTTTGTTGCAGGTTTTATTGATGTAGAGATGCAAAAGAAAGAAGAGAAGAAAGAAGTGAAGAAAAAGAGCACAATCAATTTCTTTCAATATTGGTGACCGGCAGTTGACTGGGAAACTCCCTAAAAGGGCATCAGTGAAAAAGTTAAATCAAATATCCGGCTTTAACGAACATAAAAGAGGCCAAAGGGTAAAACCGATAATTTTTTGAAAACTTAAGGGCTTTTATGGCATTAGCCCCATCATCATACATACTTATAAAACTAGCATTTTTTCTTGAATCTCATGCATTTGAAACCCCTTTTTTTAACTTCCTCAAACCACATTCATTTGAAACCCCTTTTTTAACTAATGCAACTCAAAAGTTTTCTTAATTATGATTTAACACTCAAAAGTTTATAACTTATATTATGTTTAATTAGCATTTAGTGAAAAGTTTACTATAAAAAGACAAATCTTTTGTGTCTTTTGTGTTATATAAAATCTTACATGTAAGAAAGATTTGAAGATATTGTGATTCAAAAGTTTTCATATAGTTGAAGCATTCACGATCCAAATATGATGATTTGAAGAAATGAGTTATGTCGCATCGATGGTAATTGTAATATGGTTTTTTATTTCAACCAAAACAAATGAAGCTTTTCTATTATTTCTTTATATTCAGTTTCTCATTTAATCTTTATATGTGATTTGTGTGTATTACTCAATCTTGAATGTGACTCTCCAAACATCAATGTTTTGCTTGAAATATCTTTCTGATTCTTCTTTTTCAAGAAAAATATTTTGATTGCAGGTTAGTGAATAATTGTCATCAAGTTTCTATGGTTGAATGATGTAAATGAAGAAAGAAGATTCATAAAATGGATATAGGTTTTTTTGTTTGAGCAAAGTTGACGAATGTTAGTTTTTTCTTTTGATTTAAATGTATGCTTATGTAACATCTTTATTTATATATTCAACCACCCAATGCCCTTATTTATTTGATTGTAGTTTTTCTATTTTGATTATGTTTATTTTCTATTATTTTTTTGTTGGGTTATCCTACAGAACATATTAAAACAATATTTAAAAGATAACATAATTTTGAACATTTAATATGTAATTATGATAGACTTATCATGATATGTTCTTCATATGAAAGTAATTTATCCATATTACTACGATAAGAATTACATATGATATTTACGAAAATATATATATTATATGTGATTTGTTTAACATGTATATGCACCTATGTATGTTATAAATTTATAATTAAATATCTTTATGTTTAATAATTGAAGAGATTAAAATGATGCATCAAAACCAATTATTTAGACGAATATAATAATAATAATAATAAATATACATTTTCAAGTACCGCATTCATTTGAAACTCACACTACAACTCAAGAGTTTTCTAATTTATGTATATTTATTAGTTACAACTCAAGAGTTTTTAACTTATAATTATTAATTAGTAATCACTAATAACTTTTTATTTTCCTTTCTTTTATAAGGTTGTAAAGTTTTGCTCATTAAAAACATTAATGTATTTGAAGAGATTTGTGATTTAAATATGAAGAGTTAACATAAATGTTATAATAGATGTTTTAGTGTTTTTATGTTATTAAAAGTTATAGTGTTTATTTTTCATATTTTTTATTATTCGTTGTATATATATCTTTTTTAATACAAATGTTATAATATATGTTTTTCTATTTTTATGTTACTAAAAGTTGCAGTTCATATTTTTGTTCATACGTTTTGTTACCCGTTATATTATCATTCATTTGATATATAATTTACACAATTTTAAACGGTTTATAAAATTATCAAATAATTGTATATATCACAATGACTTAAAAATTAAACTATAATGTTTAATAAAACTAATATGTTAACTATATGTTTGCTTTACTACTAACATTTTGTTTCAAAGTAGAAATATTAAATAATAATTTGGTAAAAGTTATTATTTTAACTATATAATTCTATTCTCGCGCAACGCGCGGGGATTCGCCTAGTATCTAATAAAAGAGTGCATCTTATTACATAAAATTTAGTATCATCTCTCGTCCCTTCCCCAACTTTTTTTCCCGCCTAAATTTACAAAGTGAATTACCAATTTTACCCTTCTATTCCCCTTGTCTATTGAATCCAAATCATGTGTTGATTTTC